ATTTATTTTACTATTTTAATTTAGATTTATATTTTCAAATCAGTTTTAAGATTTGTTTTATCAATTTTAATCAAAAGAGAACCAACTTTTCACATCGTTTCCCGCCCACCATTAACAAGGGAAGTACAGACAAGGTCAGGGGGGATTCTTGCCGGTGGTCTGCGAGCAGAAAGACGGTCTGTGGAACCCCGGAATGGGCTTCCACCTGTCTTAAGATAGCTAAGTGGTCGTGAAGATATTTTAAACATCAGGTGGTAAGACTAATTGGCCAGAGTATTTATTCGACCAAGTGACCTCGTGATTAGTGCATTTCTTTTAATTATCATCTTCGGGCTTTTTAATGTGTGTTTTACTGTGTTGTGTTTTATGTTCCTATTTTAATGTATTAAGTGTTTTCTGTTTTATCGTTTATTTTATTGTTCTAGTTCATTTTACCAATTTATTTTAATGTTTTAAGTTCATTTTGCTTTATCGTTCCTTTTATTGTATTGTTTTACCTCATTTTATGATTGGTTTTAATACCTTCGTTTCGTTTTATGTTTGTGTGTTCTCTTTTACTGTTTTATTGTTTTATCAGTTATCACGGAATAAATAACTATTTAAGTATGTTTGTTTCGTTTTATCAACGCCCGAACTTGATCATTGGAAAAGCATACTAGGAAGGGTAGTAACAGCCTATTTCCCTCTAGTGATATCTTATTTCTTTTTTTTATTATTATATCAATGTGGTGATCTGCTTGATTGCGTTGGAGGACTCTCCCCGCACACGCCTCTCCTCGGCTCATATCACGCGTACCAGCCTTGTGATCTCGCACCATACATATACACCACACACACACACTACATTTACACTCTTTCGCTCCTTTCCCCACACCCGTCTTCCACACTATCATTCTTCTCACATATACACTACGTTCCCATACGTTAATTAAATGGGTGGTGGCAGTGGCTACTTTTCAACATTCTTGCGAGACATAATTTATAAGGTATTTGCTACAGCTGCCTCGGCCTCTCCGCCGCCAAAGACTGCTGAGTTTGGCGTCCGTTTGGGCTTCGTCTTTGAGTTCTTTCGCGAGGGACGGCGAGGCTTTCTACTCGTGGCAGTATTGCATGGGTAGGATTGTTTATTTCTGTTTTGAGTTCACGTACTTTCCAATCTTATGCTTTGATATGATTAATGATTAACGGTAGCTGTTTATGAAAGACGCTTAATATCTGACAATGAAAAGACTGATTAACAGTAAGTTTGACTTTTTAAAATGTAATACGAAATCTGCAATGAGCATCAGAAAGTAATATGACTGAAGACACGCAGAATGAATTTGCATTACTAATAATAATCAAAGTGCTTTAATGAGCATTCTGTTAAGGCTTGAAAAATGGAAGCAGGCAGTGAATGACTCGGTAGATCCTTAATCACTCGTTTAACACAAGAAAGGTTTTTGTTACGCGTTTTTCAGCCACTTACTTCTGGCCAACTTTTTTTCAGATTTGACTTATTGTAGAAGGCAGATGCGAGAACCCAAGAGCCCCTAGCTCCTCGTAGATGATGATGTGGTGCTTTACAGAAGCGCGGGGGGGGGGAGAAAGTAAAGTTTAAGAACTGAAGGAAGTGAGAGATTGAAAGCAGGTTGACCATGTTACAAGGAAGGTTGGAGGAGGAATCTTTTACGAATGATGGACAATTTAAGAGGAATTGCTGTTAAGTAGTTTTAAACATGTATAACACAAATACCGAAAGAGATGAACGATTTTTGTCATTTTAATTTTATACATTTTCGATTGATTTATCATTATTATTATGTAGGGGAAGCAAATGAAATATGACTGCTTTAATTTGTTCAATCTATTTTGACTCTTTTATTTCTTAGTATTTTTATTATTTCCTTTAACATATTGATTTAAAATACCAAAGGTGTAACAAGAACATAGGAATTGAACATGTATGGGAAACAATGATGATGGCAATAGGAAAGAGGCAATGAAGACCATGGTGATGATGATGTGGCCTTTTGGTGAAATGGGGTATGGCTTGCAATGACGTCACAGTAGAAACGAGTCAAGTAAGTTTTTAATCAGTTGGTGATTTGGTTACTTTGGCAACTAGGTCTGACGTTCCGACTGTGGAAGGAGACGAAAGGAGAGCATAGGTACAAATAAATAAGTGCATGTGAAATGGATAGGTGATACAACAAGGTAATACAACAGTGAAATGGAAACAGTAAAACTAAAACGGGCAAACAAAACTAAAATTAAAAGGTGTACTAAATATAAAAATAACATTGAATCAGTAATGGGGGGTGATTTAACATGCAGAAAATTTGACCCTTTGGAATAGCACATGAAACAAAAATAGGCTTTTTTCCGTAGACGCATCTCCATCCTGCATGCTCCTCTGACTCACGTGTTGGCAACAGTGCGCTCCTGTAACCGCAGACAATCGACTCAGTGTCCGTAACAAGTTTGCTATTCGTCAGTGCTGATTACAAGACAACTAGGGGGGGGGGGTACGAAGTGAGCAGAGCGAAGAGCAGTGATAAGATAAACTAAGGAAGATAGACTGTAAAGCGAGTCTTGGAGAACTCTAAGACGACAGAGCAAGGAGGCAGGGAGAAGCTGAGGAAGACAGGATTAAAATTAAGGGACTTCACCCCTTTTGATGGATAGAGATTGGTTGTTCTTTTTAAATTTGTCTTTTTATTTCATTATTATATTTTCTATTAGGTCTCTTTTCACTAAATCAATATATACATGTGTCCGGGGGCTTTAGCAGGTATAGATTAGCATAGATTTTTTTTTCTATCCTGCTCACTGACTTTCGGCCTCCCGCATTGACCTCCCGCGGCTACTATTACGAGCCTCGACTATTATTGGTCGATTGGTCCTCCATTACATAACTTACAATACACGATCAGGGGACCTTTGGAGAGATTACTGGAAGTCGCTATTCTTATCTGAATACTGATAAGTATTATCTTGACTATTTACAGTTTTTCTCTTCATTTTTATGTTTGATTGTGTCAGTCACTTTGCTTGTTCATATTGTCCGGGCGAGTTTCCCACTCTCTGTTTTTGCATACATGCATAATGATGTTGTGCCCGTGAGGTTGGTCTATGTTCTCGTTCTTTTCCAGATTTTCATCTAGTACTTTTTTATTAGACCTCTATCATCCTTTTTCAAATATCGTCTCATTTTGGGTGTTGATCAGATAAGGGGATTTGGTATTATCTACTCCCATGTATGTTTCCATGTCCCCAGAGCTGGCTTGGGTCTTTCAGGTTGCTGGATAAGCTTATCTGTCTCCATCTTTCATTGAATATGTTGTTTATAATTTCACATTTCTTCCCTTCTTTCATTCCGGTGTGAATAATTAGTGACTATTGGATTGAATAGTTTTTCTCCAAGTGATTTCAGTAAAGTAAATAATAATTAATTGGTAATTTAGATTATATTTTTTATAAATAATTTAACTATTTAAACAAAAGTAAAAATAGTAAGATTAAAGGGTTTCTCTTTTCTCCTTAATATTGATATAATATTTTAAAGAAAATGTGGTGGCAGCTAGTAATTTCATTCATTATAATTAAATGATTAACAATTCCGTCTTTGACTCCTAGTACTTTATTGTACAGGTATAAGCCCGATAGGAGGAGGGTTTCCTTTTTGGGTTGTCTTGATTGTCTTTGTGTCTTTGGGTGGGCGGCTTCTGGGTTTTGATTTGCAAGTCTGTTGTATGTCTGGGGTTGGCTGAAGCTTGTGGTGGCAGTTATGGTTTCCGTTTTGTTCATTGGTCAGGTCATTATGTCAATTTTCTCGTCTCCTTTAATCTTATATTCTATATAGCTTTGTAATGTTTTCTTGCTAATTTTCATTTCTCCTTTATGTTTGATTGCAATTTCACAAATTGTAACTCAGGCATGACTTCTTTTATCTTGTGATATTAATTCAGCAATATCAATTTATGAACTCTTGTATTTACTGTCAGTAAATTGCATAACACTTTTTAATAATTGTGTATCAATACTCTATACATATAAGTCTGTGATGTAACCTAAATATTTTTGTCTATATGTAAACTGAGGGATTAACTTTTAAATCCTCTTTGCAGTTAATTTTTGTCTGTACTGAAGATGAATGGTAAACACTCGAAACGTTTGTTCCATTCTGGAGAAACATGTTCTGTTCTGTTTTTTTTTTTTTTTTTTTTTTTTTTTTTTTATGAAGGAGTTACACTCCTTTCTCACGTGACCTCGACCTTCTTGACCCACACAAACCCTCTACCGCGAGTCACGGACCAGCTCGGACACTGCCTCCTGGGGTCCACTACTCCAGGCCTCCTTGCTGGGCCTTCCTTCATGCCTCTGCACAAGACGTCTTCAAATATTCTAAAGTTAGCGTTTAGCTCTCACCATGAGTTTTACACTATATAACTTCAGTTCGCAGCCTTTGCATGAGAATTTCCACATCATTTTTTTTATTTAAAATTTCATAGAATCCTTAAGTGCAAGAATCGCAATTTTGTGAAGGTGGCAAGTTCTCTATCATTCTAATGCCTCATACATATGAGTATGCATGGGTACATTTATACGTGTATGTTTGTGTGTGTGATGTGTAGAAAAGGTTATGAATAATAACGAATCACTTCATAGCACATGTGTATTTCTCTCCTTCACTGACATCCTTCGCCATACAAAATGTTTCTACGTTTCTACTTATTTTATTATTTTTTCAAAATATCTTATTCATCTTTCTTCACTATTGCATGCGGCAATGTCTCACAGATGACACGAGTTCCTGATGAGGAGGATCTTAGTCTCATTGCTTTCCTTTTCTCCTCAATATTTTCTTCTCTTCCTGCACCAAGCCTACCTACGTTAAGGTTTCGCTGGTGGCTTACGTGCCCACTGAGGAGGATCTGGCAATTTTGATTCCTGTTCCCTTCTCCTTAGGATTTCCTCCTCTTCCTCAACCAGTTCTGCCTGCGTCAAGGGTTTCGCTG